CCGGCACTGCAGTCCTGACCCCTCTGGTCGCCGCAGGAACGTCCCCCAACATCGCCCGCAGCGCCATAGTGAACTGCGCCGAGCTGGTGACCTACGATCTCATCAAGGACGCGCTGCTCAAATCCCACCTCGCCAGCGGTGAGGCCCCCGGCTCCGCTGCGGAAACACAGCTTGGGCCGTGCAATTTCCATCCTGAGCATCCGCCTGGGGAGGGACCCCTGGGGTTGCGTGTCCCCCCCCCCCCAATCACGGGCTCACAACCCAGCTGCGGCTCTTGCCTGGCAGATAACCTCCCCTGCCACTTCGCCTCCGCCTTCGGGGACGGCTTCTGCGCCACCCTCGTCGCGTCCCCCGTGGACGTGGTGAAGACAAGGTACATGAACGCTGCTGCGGGGCAGTACGGGAACGTCGGGAGCTGCACCCTGGCCCTGCTCAGAAACGAGGGGCCCGAGGCTTTCTACAAGGGGTGAGTAGGGGTTTGCCACCCTTTTCCATCCTCTTCCAAAAGGCAGCTGCTTCTGGGGTGGAGCAATGGTCGCTCTGGGACGCGGTGTGCTAAGCGCGGCTGCTCCGGCAGGTTCGTGCCCTCGTTCCTGCAGCTCGGCTCCTGGAACGTCGTGATGTTCGTCACCTACGAGCAGCTGAAATGGGGCCTGATGGCCACGGGCAAGAGGTCCCCTCCTGAGCCTGACGCTGCCATCACCACCTTCCTGGTGGCACCTCGCTCGCTGACATCAAAGGGGATCACGTCTGCCAGATCCCAACCAAGGAGAAAGCTGTAGTGAGCACAGCGAGACTTTGAGTAAATCCTGTGGCCTTTTCTTCCCTGGTTTTGGTCTTTCCCTCACCCCCCTGCACACAGTCACCCCCAAACCCTCGCTGTTCCCACGCATGAGCTGAGCCGAGAGTACTGTAACCCCCCAAAAAATCCTCCATCACCCTCTGCATCGCTGTGGTGCTGCTGCTGTGGGGTGGCATCCAGAAAGCAAGGTGGATCTGGATCCAAGGCCCAGGGGGAAAAAAAAAAAGCCTCAAGGGTGTTGTTTCCGGATCCCCAGTACTTGGAACAACCTCTGCCCAGTCACAGTGCTGGCTCCAGAGCTTTATTGGTGGGAGGAAAACGGGAAAGTCATCGTCCCCTAGGACAGGAGAGCGCTTTTCAAGAGCAGTTTCTTCTCAGGCGTGAGTTTCTTGGGAAAGCAGATGTTGAAATAGATGAGGAGGTCACCCTTGCGCCCGGGGTCCTGGAGCAGCGGCATCCCCTCCCCTGGCACTACCTTGCAGTACTTGGGGCTGCAAAGCAAAGGAAGGGGCTGAGAGGAGCCGCAGGACGATCCCGACACGGGGACGACAGCACTGAGCCCCGATGTGGCCACACGCAGAGCCCCACGCAGGCTTCTGAGCAAAGTTTGCTCCTCCAGCTTCAGTCGGTGGCCTGCTCTCCTCTTCCAGCCCCGCGTTCCTTGCCCTGCAGGCTCTACCATCCAGCCCTCATCTCACTCGTGTCTTCCGCCCACCCACACCAAACCTTCTCCTCTGCTACCAGCAACATGGCCCCAGACCAGAAGAGTAGCCCATGGTGGGCATCAACCCCCACCAGGCTGGGACCCCCCAGGTCCAAACCTCCTAGGAAAGCTTTTGAAGCACCCCAGTAATTCAGGCAACGGGGATGAGCTTGGGAAACGCCAAGCTCTCGCTGAGGAGGAACAGGCAAACGCTGAGGTTCCTCCCAAGCGCCTGTTCACCTCCTCGGCCACCAAGCTCTGCAGAAAGGCTCCATCTGACCACCCGGCCCACCAGCAGTTTGCCCCATGGCGCTTACTCCACGATATCGTTGATGGGGATGTTCAGCAGCCGCCCGTCCAGCGTCCTCACATCCACCGTGCAGCCGATCAGCGCCTGCAAGGTGGGGAGAGGGACCCGGAGCTGCGTTTGCAGCCCCAGAGGGGAAACATAAGCTGGGGCGGGCTCTGTCCCCTCGCTTGGCTCTTTACCTTCCCCAAGGGAATGGTGGCGACGTAAGTGAGGTTGTTGTCGGCTCTTTTAAACCTCGGGTGGATTTTCTCTTGGACAACAAAGGTGATGTCAGCTGGAATGACATTTGGGCCCTAAAATTGAGGGGGGAAAAAAAGATACCTTGAAATGGTTTGGTGCAAGACAAATTATTTTATAAAGGAAATACTGAATCACTCCGCTAGTTGTGTGACCAACTGCCCACAGCCTGCAGAAAGGGGAAACCTGCAAAGAGTGCGCAGCCAGTCCTGAGGAAACCTGGCCCCGAACTTCACACCACGGTCATTACCTGGTCTCCTTCCTTCTCAAAGGTGATCCTGGTGCCCTGCTTCCACCCCGGCTGCACGTCGATCGTCAAGATCTTATCTCTGATGGTGCTTGTTTGACCATCTTCATTCATCACCTGGAGGGTGGATGAGGGGGTTAGAAGAGCTGGGTTAG